GCCGGACAGAGCGCCAAACCCTCCCGCCACCCGCCCGCCCAGAGCACAGCCAAAGTGGGCCTGGAAGTAGGAACCGGACACGGGAACGGACGATGTAAGCGAGGTCCGAGGGGAGACCCGATTCAGGGACAGCTGAGAAGGGCGGGGTGGGGGTGGGGGTGTGGACTCCCGAGCTGGCAGGCACGGGGGGAGGAAGCAGGAAGAGAGCAGGCTCCTGAGGCAGAAGGACCCCAGCGCCCAGCGGTCACACTGGTGTTTCAGGGAAGACCCACCCCGGGCCGTCTTCAGCTTGACCATTCAAGTCCCTGAAAGAACCAGTCTAATCTATGGGGTGTGAACCACAGAAAACATACCTCCAAAAGTGACTGAAAGAGCAATTTTTAAAAGGAGTATAACTCACAGAAATGGAAAAAAGGTCACTCCCATTTATACACAACCCACAACTATCCTTGCAAGGCGTCACGCTGCGTATTTTAGGGGAACAAAACAGAAACAGACATGTTTAACGTTTAGAAGAAACGCAGAATTCCAGAGCTCCTGAACTGCTCACAACCTGAATTTACTTAAAATTCACATATTAATTTTCATGTCTTGTTGGTTACATAAGTTTTATGAGCTCACCTCTCTCTTACATCTTTTACGTACCTCTTTCTGGCGACCTACAAATCGAACTTTCCTATAGTCTTCATCCTCATAAACCTGCAAAGAAAAAGACAGTGTGTGACTTTTACTGCCCAGTTCTGTATCTTACATCAATCATAAACCTCACAGGAAAAGTGTTTTCTCAATGGTTAAGCCGTTCGGGATCACACACATGGGGCGTGAGTGTAGCGTTTTACAGCAGGATTCCTAAGAGGACAACAGGCAGTAATGCGAACCGGAAGGAGGTGGGGGGGCAAGTAGAGGAGAGAGCAGCTCAGGGGAGGGGGGCACCCCAGCCTCCAAGCAGGCAGGGCCCAGAGCTTCCTCCTCTCTGAATCTGCCGGGTGATGTCTTGACAACGCAGGAACTCACTCTCTCATCTTTCAGCTTATAATTATCGTCTACCTCTGTTTTTGTAGTTTAGGGTGCAGCAGACCCCGAGTTGTAAAAATGTGGTATTTAATACTGCACAAACATTAGAAGACTTGACCCTCACAATCGGCACTTTCCGACTCCGGCGGCAGCCTGCCCACAGTAACCAAGGAGCTACCCCGGGGAACAGCCTCGTTTTACAGTCGCAGAAGCTCTAGGACCAGACCCTACAGTAGCTGCGAACACGCCGTGCACGCCTGAGCCCCTCGGTACCCCTGCGGGGGCTGGGCCGGGAGCAATGCGGGGCGGGACACCGGAGACTGGACCGCGGGCGCTGGGCCGTGGGGCGGTCAGGGACGACTGGGGGAAGGGACGTGTGCGGCCTGGGGCCCCGGGAACGGCTGGACCGCGGGGGGACGACGGGGGGACCGAGGGACACGGGGTACGTGGACCGCGGGAGTCTGGGGGCCCGACTTGGGCGCCCCTCCGCGCCGCGGCGGTTACCTGGCCGGTATGCGTGACCTTCTCCCCGGACGGCGAGGTCCGCACCCCGAAGCACCTGGCGCCCCTGGGCAGGCT